TTTTTTTTTTTTACTCTTTTTCTAATATTTAGATTGCTTTAGCAGTTCTTAACCCTGTAACACCAAGTGTATCATATTTCATATATTGCAAATATGATGCAAATTGATATTTAATTTCTTGCTTATTTGTTTTTTAATTTGTCAGAAGGTTAAATAAATACTCCAGTTTCAAAAAAGTTAAACATTTTCTGCCTATTCAGGTTCACAGGTTTAAGTATGCCTGGATAACACTGATAACTAACGCAGTGCCTGTTGTCACAGCAAAGGTGCATGTCACAATAAGGAGGTTTATTGATCCCCTTTGAGGTCAGAGACTGTATCACAATGCCCCTGATGATGTAATTTTACTACAAAAACAACAGGACTGCCACTCATTCAACCAGAGGCACACAAACAAATATTCACCTCATATAAATTTTACAAATAAATAAATGAATCTCTGCCACTGAACCCTTGATGACACCTCAATTCATATCAATAAGATGTGGGTAGGGTAGCTGCATAGGGAGAGACCGCCCACACAAACTGCTGATGCTGATTACTGAAACCACTCAGTTCAGAAAAGAGCTTCAAGGGTTACCCCAAGTAGGATTTCAAAGGGAAAAAAACCTCAAACTTGGTGTGAATGTTGCTGGAACCTGAGGGAGTTGAACACCAGGTTTTAAGACATTTTGATGATGGTCGGCTCATTCTATTATTTCAGGGTCTATACCTTATAATTTAAAGCACCCTGACATGAATTGGTACAACAAAATAAAGCAGAACTGAACTCCTGTTCTGTCAGGTAGAAATAGGAGCTGTTTTATGTGCATGAAAAAAAAAAAGATCAGCTCAGCAGGGAAAACCAAAGACAAACTGCTGTTTACATCAGTTTGTATTGTGCATCTCCATGGTTTCCAGCATTTGTTCAGACTCACTGTTGATGAGTCCGTCTGTCACAGTCAAGCACCAGATTTAATTAGCAAACCGTGGCAAAGAAAACAAGATGCTTCAAGAACTAATGTGGATGTTTAGGTTTTCCAGCTGTTGACGCTAGCAGGACAAAGTCATGTGGCTTGTTAAGAACAAGCAGTTTAAGTAAACAGACATTGACACTTGTATTTAGCGAGTTAACCTTCACTAACATCCACCTTTGCTGAGGTCAACATGCCTGTGAATGAAGCCACTACATCAGTAGCTTTTAAAGCAAAGCTTTAAAAAAACTGAAATACAGATTTTTAGAAATCATGACAAGCAAGTGTGGAGATTAAAAATGAACTAACCGTGCTTATCAGCAGCACCACCCTCATACACTGCAGATACCACCAACTTCCCCAAAGGAGAGTCTGCTCCCCCCTCCAGCGCCAGGTCAAGGTTTCCATCCTTAAGGATGATAAGCAAACACACCATGAGTCATTTTCTTGAATATCTTCCTTTTCCTCTCCGAACAGCAACAAAGGCTCTGCCTACCTTTTTGATTCGCAGCTGCCTCGCATCTCGGCCGGCTATCTGGCTATCAGAGAACTATGACAGAGAAAGGATCGCAGATGGAGAGGCACAAACTAACTGATTAATAAAACAATAAATGAGGTGGCAGCATAATGA